TTACGTTTTAGGCTTCTTGCCTGTTGTGGGGCGACAGGGCTGTTTCTCCTTGCTCCGTTATCTTTAGGGATAAAGAAGCTACTGCAAATACTCACAAACACTGTCTTTCTCAGTTTGCCTGTCAGTTTTTACATGATAAGTGCTGTCCGATAGGTGGAGATCGAAATAAATCTCATCATACCTAAAATAATTTACAAAATAGTGTGTTTTAAGTCTTCCGTCCAGGCCCTGCTTTCTACCCAGAGTTGGGTTTGCCCTGCATAGGAGCTAAGTATTTGTTTCCAGAAATGTGAAACACTGTAAAGCTACAGATACTTTAAGATGTCCTGCAGTTGTTTTTGTCACATTCAGTGAACAGTAGATATGAGTACAAGTCAGGCCCCAGCTTTTGCAGCAGTTCCACATTCGGGATTGAGTCTCGGAAGAGAGCCGTGACAGACCGGGCGCGCTTCCCGAGCACCTCTGCAGGCCACAGCTTCTCGTGAGGGAGAGAAAATAACAGGGAAGTGTGACTTAAAACCCATGATAAACTCCTCTCTAAATCTCATTTTAACTTTTCTTCCTCCTGTTCTTCCTTCCTACCTACGTCCCTTCCTGTGAGAGCTGTGGTTGGCTGGCATCTGCTAGCCGAGGGTCACAGGATGACTTGGGGTCATTTGATGAGGTCTTAGACCAGAGTTAGTTGACTTTTCCTGAAACTTCCCCACAGCTCGTGCCCGTAGGTCTCTGCTCTCTCTGCTTGCTCACCCCACGCTTGCGTTTTACACTTACACTCTCCACTTTGTGCCCTTAGCTAAGCTAAGCCTACGGACTAGACTGAGATGGTCCTTTGATGTAGTTGGTGGCCAGGCCACACGGGCTTAAGGACTTGAGCGTGAGACTACCCCACAGTCCTCTCCTCCGCCTGATAAGCAGGGAGCAGGGGGAGGAGTAAGGGCTTGATCTGGGTCCACAGCCTGGCTGTCTGGGCGGGTTGAGACGGTGGCCAGAGAAGCATACTGTGAACACCTGAAATTGAAGGCAAAATTTTATGTGCATTTATGCTTTTCTGGGCTAAGTTTCTGGTGAGAGCTATGGATTCTCAGGGCCTGGGAACGAATACTGAAACCACTGGCCTTGGCTCACGTACTACCCTGTGATATTTCCCCACCGCCTCACACCTTGGCAGGTAGGCGGGGTCAGGGATGAAGGTAGTTTGGGATAACAGCGACTCCCCAAACTTGCTGTCGAGTCCAGAGCTGCGATGTTGCTGAGAATCACCCTCTTTGTTGAGGGAGCTGGACTGGCCCCAGATACCTCTGGAAGTCACGTGGAGAAGAGTGAGCCGGTCATGGAAAGTCCACTTGCAGAAGGGAGGTGGAATTTTGGCCTGGGTGCCGGGACTTTCCTGCATTTGATGTGGTGTTCACCCATCTCCACAACCGCTGAGTGGTCGAGAAGGCGGGTTGCGTGGTCTTGCTTTTCCTGTGCCTGTGCGGGGAGGCGCATCGCTGTGAGTCACACTGGCTCATGCTGTCTCGCCAGCACTGCCGCAGCCCAGGCCCTGTGAAGCATAGACTGCACGTTTGGGTCCAGAGAGCGGAACAAAGCCATGCTCGGTTTAGCTCGTTTAGACAAGTAAGGGGAACTTGTGTGTGCAAAGTTTCTTTGTGGTGAGTGGTTGAAATGCTGTCTTCGCTCTGATTGTGTGTTAGAATTGACTTTTGCCATGTCTCTTGTTCAAGTCTGAGGCCAGAAACTGAAAATTTGACCTTATAGAACTGGCTTCCTTTTCACTGAGCTCTGTTTGTAGCCTGTAGCCTTTATTCTTGGGAATAGTATAACTTTGCTGGTATATAATGGACATTCTAAAAGCAAGTTTTAGAAAATATAATTGTTAGCAGGTCTTTGAAGAGGGCGATAGGAAGGTTACAATTTAGTATGCAACTTAAGTCACGGTCTGTGGTGTATATTGTCTTAATAGTAAGAATAAAACATTTTATTTCTAGCGTAAGACAAAATGGGTACCTGAGAATACACAGATAATATTGTGGTGTTGAGCTAAAAATTTCTAAGTAGGAATTATTAGCAAACATTTGCACCATACCTTTACCTCTGGGTTCCCAATTTTAAATATAATTTCATTCTGTCATTTGCAGCTTTCATATTTTGATACTTCGAAAGAATAGGGCAAAAGCTTATTCACTGACGTATTTTCTTCAGTTTTTTTCTGTTTTCCTTGCTCTCAACGTCTCTCAGTTGATTTTCATTTTATCTGTTAAATGTTTTTTGACCAGTTTAATGGAGCTTTATTGCTAATACACTATTCAAAGAGATCACCACTCGGGGATCATTTTAAGGGTAGCCTTTAATAAAGGTCATTTATAGTCTCCTTGCTGGCCATGAAAAGTTATCAGATGTCCTTGATGGCCGTGCAAGTTGGCAAAGGTTGTGAACAGAATCTGAATGAATTCGAGGTATAGCTGAGGTAATATATTCTGGTGAATAGATTCTGGGCCTTCCCCGTACCCGTTTCTGCTTTGCAACTTTTGCTATTTTGAATCACTGCTCTTTTATTTCCAATGATCTCCCTTTCTGCTCTGGCCATCCCTTCACACTTAGTTCTGTTAGTTTCTTCCTGCACCTTTCCTGGGGCTGCCATGTGTGTTGGTGTTTGTAGCTGTCCTGAGAGATGCTTGTTTGGAGAACCAGCCGGGTTGGGGGTTGCCACTGCATTTCAAAGGAAGAAGGTAGAATTGCAGCCCAACAGAAGTGGTACCTGTGTGCAGATAACTGAGCCACAGGGTTCAGCCTTTGGGCAAGCCAATGCTGAATCTTGGCCTCTTCAGCAAGGAAGGGGGGGACAATATCTAGATGATCTACTGACCCGTCTCTGTCTCACAGGTCTTGCTTCTGGCAGACAGGCATCTAGACTCTCTCTAAAACTGTATTCCAAGAGAACCGTGTGGCTAAGCTATCTGTTATGAAAGCCATTCACTTAATGTTTGTTTAGTAGGGACAGAATTTTTCTGCTATTGATAAAAATAGGAAGGAGACAGGAAGATACTCTGAAATTAGCAAAAAGGAACTAACACATTTAATCACTTTTTATTTTAGGTGTTTGATGTATATAGCCCCTGTGAACCTGGTTTCTGTTTACTTTTAACTCCATGGGTGACATCACATCTTTTACTTGAAATCTTACTAGCACCCCAGTCATGGAAAGTACCATTTCTCTGGTATTGTCCTCTCACCCCTACAACATTAAAAAAGGAGGAGGGGGTACACACACACCCTCACTTTCATTTGGAAAGTAGACAAAGGAAAGAAGTGAGTGTGCGTAAACTGTTAATGCTTCACACTCATGAGTATAGTGTGAGAATTCATGAGGATCACTAGCTTTTCTGAGTGCCGAGTGCTTTTCCATGTGTCTCTTCGGACCCACCTTCTGAGGCGAGGGCTCTTACTGTCATTCTTGTAGGTGGTTACGTTTGGGTACTCAGACGTCTAATAGTGGGCCCTGACAGTCTAGTCCTGGGTCCGACTCCAGCCTGCCCTCTGCCCCAGCCTCAGTCCCATCGCACCCCGCGCCCTGATGTCCAGGCAGAGGGAACAGACTGAGCCAGCCACGGGGTGAGTCTGCAGCCCCGTCTGGCGCCGGGCAGTCCCGGCAAGGCTGGAAGGCGGGTTCCATGCCTGCTTGGCGCCAGTGAGGCTTTCAGTGGGTGGGGCAGGTGGTATAGTAGCCCCTGCCCAATCCCCCGGATCAGCTGCCTCTCTGGATACCCCTCGTTTACCCTCTCTGTCCTCAGCCTCCCTTTTCCTCTAGCTGCGCTAGGCAAGCGCTCAGGGCTAGGGTGCCGGGAGAGGTGTAGGCATAGCCGTCGTGCACTCAAGTGCGTGTTTTTCACGAGCCTCATTGAACTCCTTCCTGTCTTCCTTTTTTTGCTGGGGCCTCCGTCTTGTCTTGTGTGACGTTGGGGTCTGACTACTCCCTCTCTGTCCATCTGCAGTGTTGCCTTGTTTTCAGCTCTGGGTAGCACCTGTCCCCTCGGAAGTACTTGGTGCCTCCACAGTTCCTGAGCTTCCTGGGGTTCTGCACGGTTTCCTGCCTGCTTTGGGCCAACGCCCGCCCCTGGCACCAGGCTTCCCTGTCCCCCGTCACTAACTGCTCCTTCCTCCATTTCTGGACTGTTTTCAGCTTTCACATGTCTCATGGATTCAGCCAAGACCGGGTTGGTGTTTCTGTTTCTCATCTGTGTCATGTTTGAGGGGGGAAGGAGGCATCTTAAAAACCAGAAGTCCTTTTCTTCATCTTTGTCTAGCACCTTGTGATTTTCCCCCTGCTGGCACCTAGTAGGCTGGCTAGATGAGACTGAGCCCCTTGGACAGCAGTTACCATGTGCTGCAAGTCTGGCAGTGGCCGGGGTAAAAGTCGTGGGACAGCAGGGTCCTGCTCAGCAGGACATGGGTGGCTGCTTGAATGTGGGGATGAGGGGCAGGGGCAGGGGGAGGTGTTTTACCTTCAGACTAAGTTTTGCAGTAGAGTCAGTCGCCCATAGCCCTTCCCCCTCCCTCATGGTATCTGTCAGATCCTAGAGCAGATCTTGACCTGGGTAGTGGTGGTTCAGCTCTGTAGCAGTTGGCGAGCCCCTGGCCTGTTCCGAGCGCTGTTAGAAAGGTCACCTGTGCTGTGTCCAGGCCTGTGTCGCGCCGGGCCGCTCTTTGCTTGCTGGCGTCAGTTCCTGATGCGCTTGTAAGAGCCACGCTAAGACGCCACCGCGGTGGTTGAGGCAGTAACATCCATTCCAGTTAAAACAGCCTCAGAGCGTGTAGCACGATGAAAAACTTCTCAGCCAGGGTAGCCTGAAATGGAATGGTAGGCGAGGAGAGTCTGGTAGGAGACCTGCACCTTATCTGGCTGTCATCGCGAAATGTGACGAAGGCTAAACGTCGCTGGGACACATTTTTAAGCAGCTGCATAGTGTGGTAAGAGCAAAATGTCCGTGCAACACGTTTTTGAAATGTCTAATTTGGTGTGATTTCAGTGAGGAGGACATGTACCGTGCTGCGGATGAAATAGAAAAGGAGAAAGAATTACTTATACATGAAAGAGGGTCATCAGGTATGTTTGGAATCGTTTTATTTACCGAGTTGTTACTGTTTGTGGTAGAAAATGCAGTTAAATTGTGTCTCCATGTTCATAAAATGCTGACATGCACTTCCTGGGAAGCTTTCTTGTGCATCCGGTCTTATCTCCATTGTTCATTTTGCTGAAGTGAGTTTGGGGAAGACGGTTTCCTGAAGTTTAAAAATTTTAATGCACGAATTCTTCTGTGTTCTTTACATTCAGATACATTGAGAATGTTTTTGCACCTATGAGGATATGTCTCATCTCTTGACACCACCCTCTCAGTTCTTGATTTCCTTATGTTCTTAGGGGAGACTTTGGTTTTGAAATGTATCTCCCTTTCCAAGTGGAAGGACCACTGAGAAGCGGCTGTGCACGTCTGTGCAGAGGGCCCCTGAACTTGACTGACTTGGAAGAAAGAACAAATGGTCGAGCGCTGGGGAGCCTGATCCTCTCCTCATTTTGTGCCCGTGTCCCGGTGAATCGAGCCTGCTCTCCGCAGCCCAGGAGGACCCTGGCTGTCAGGGCCCGGCGCGCCAAGGCCGCCTGCAGTGCGGCCAGCAGGAGCGGGGCGGATGTGTGTAGGAAGCGCCTCCTTGCTGACAGCCTCTTGCGAACGCCGATGGGGCGCTCCAGCTGGGGGCTCACCACGGACTCACGAGGGGCGCGCGCTCATCACCTGTGTAATGTGTGTGGGCTTTGGAGTCTTGAGGAACGGCTTCTGCTGGCTTTACAGTTAGCGAAAGTATTGGGGGTAATGAGGACAAGGGGCGCAAGTAGTGAGGTTCTGAGCATGGTTTTCCATTCTTGCACGCGGCTCCTGAAGCCGTAGGAGGTGCCGTACTGGGCCAGTCCGCGCGTTCTCAGGCCGCGCTGTGCCGGTACCCGGGAATCTCAGCGCCTGCTCTGCTTCAGTTCCGCAGAATCCACTCGGCCTGCGGAGTCCTCTTAGCCCTGACCCTCTGGCCAGTGTTTATTCCTGCTGCGTCTGCAGCAACCTCTCACGCTGCAGACTGTGACTTTTCTCTCCAGCAGGAGACACCCATGCAGGCGTTTCAGGTTTTCACTAGGCCTTGGCCTGAGCCTGGTGGGTCCACTCACATCCCTCCGTGTCTGGCCTCCGTGCCTCATTCCCCTCTGGAAGCGACAGCCTTCGGAGGCCGTCTGAGAGGCCGCTAGTGGGAAAGCTCTTTTGTACAATTTATTTCACTTTCTTTCTTAAAATTTCCCAGCGAAGTAATTAATTTGCTTAGCTTTTGAAGACTCTGTTTCATTGTTTTCTGGGTTCTACTGTAGTTAAAAGAACGGCAGACGCCTGTGGGCAGTCTGTCCTTCCCGCAGTCTCTGCAGGGTCTCAGTGCCTCCTCCATGTTTCTTAAACGGTTTTTGTCTTTTGACATTTTCCTTGGGGTATGTTTCTTTATTAATTAAAGCTAAGGATGCTGAGCTTTCATCGGTCAGGAGAATTCTCAACCATTATCTTTTTGAATAATCATCTTTTAACTGTTTCACTTATCAGATGAAGTTTTATTTTGCAGTTACGTTTGTGTCTTCGTTAATGTATGTATGTGCACTGGGTTGTAATAAAACTGCATTTCTTCCTATGAGTTGGAACCAGATCTATTTAAAAGCCAGCGATGCTGGTGAAGCCCTTATTTCATACACTTCTCTGAAGCCCAGAGAAGTGAAGCGTGAGTTACATTTTTACCTTGGAATCAGATGAGGTTGGTAGTTTTGTTAACTTCTGGTTTACCATCACTGTAGCCTTTGGGGATCCAGTCAGGATGTAAGTAAAGACAACCAGGTATACTTTTTGTTAGGGAGATATTACCTTTTTGTATAGCAGATGGAAGACAAATTGCTGGTCATTGGGCACAGTCCCATGACTCAGCTGTCGCCTCCTCCAGGGGGTCAGAGCACTGCTCAGGCCCCCCTGTTGGTGCAGTGCAAGGAGCCTGCCCTCGGGGAGCCCCTGCTTGACTGTGTGTTCCTGAGGGAGGGAGATGCAGAAAATGAAGCATGTTATGTGCTGCTTGGTGCCAAGAAGCACCAAGGAAGTGGAGGAGGATGCGACTGCCGTGGGAGCTTCGGGTGGTAGCAGAGCAGAGACCTGCTTGGCCAGAGAGAGTGGCCCTGCAGGCACCTGGAAGAGCCAGGGAGCAGTGAGGGGAGGCTGCAGGTGAGGTGCTGAGGCCAGAGAAGCTGTGGGGGAGCAGGCACAGGCCCCTGCGGTTGGGAAAGACGAGTCCCCTGCCAGGAGAGCTGGGCCTCCCCGAGGCCTCTGCTCCCGGCCCGGAGTGCTGGCTATTTCCTCACTTAGGCTTTGAATGCGCCACACTGGCCACCATGTCAGGGCTGTCCAGTAGGGTGTGGGGACAAGGGAGATGCACTGGTGGCCTCTCTGGTTTCAATTGAGGGTGAGGTGAGGATGGTCTGGTGCTGTCACTAAGCAGTGGTGGGTTCTGAAACTTGCAATGAAGTGAGAAAGTGATCCCCCAGGAAAGCAGTGCTGTTATTCTGATGACACCTGTCTCACTATTCTCCCCAGTTAATTAATTAATTACTGTTTATTCTTCAACAGAACTCCGAGTGAGCATAGCTCCTGAAGTGGATATCATGGACTACTGCAAGAAAGAGTGGAGGGGAAATACGCAGAAGGCCACGTGCATGAAAAAGGTATGTCGCCTGGCTCCACAGGTCCGGTGGTGGGGATATAGTCCATCCCAGTGACTGTCACGGCCTCTGTTTTTAGATGTTAATTAAGGTAATTGCTTCAGACTATGTAAATGTTGGTTTTCTAATTTTAGAGATGAGAGACAGATTTCCAAGACAAGGGACCTGTTTTGAGTCACAGCATTAATATAGAATCAGTGTCAGTTACCCAGTGATGTGACTCCTTTAACAAACTTGTGAGTGGCTGTGCTGCTGACTTGGGCCAGCTGTAGGGTCATCTGGGAATTCCCTCCTGGCCTGGCAGGAAATGCCTCAGCGGACTGCTGTCCCGTGCCTGCTGTCCCGTGCCTGCTGTCCCTGCGGGCTTGGTTCACGCCCTCTGCTCCGTGGCATCCGGACCCACCTGGACGCTGCACAGAGGGCCCGGCTTGATCCTTTCGCCATTGCTCCTCAGACTCGGGAGCTGCCCTCCTCGTCCCATTGCTTAGGTTGGTGGCTCCAGAGTCGTCGCCAGAGTGTGTCACACTCGGGCTTCCTGTGACACGGTCCCGCTGCGACGGCGCTGGGGCCTCGCCCAGGTCAGACCCGCTGACCTCTCCTGCGGCCCCGCGTCACGGTGGTCAGGGCCGGGTCCCCTCGAAGGCATCTGGACCCAGCAGCCCTTGAAAGTTCGAGCCCCGGGCGGTTGATGCTGTCTGAGCTCCAGAAATGGCAGTTTCAGTCTAAAACTTCCACCATCTCCTGCAAACTCTGGGTTATAGGCTTTGCTCATTTTCCCCTTGGGATTATTTACATTATGATAAAAATCTTTCTAGTTTTCACTTTGTTTCAAACCGTATTTAGGATTTAACATTTTTAAACATTTGCATTTTTCTTCAGAGCTTGTTTTGGTAGAACATATTGGGCCTCTTCCAGTAGGTCCCTCGCTGCGCCGCCTGCCCTGTGCCGGGCAGGCCTTCCTTAGTGTGTGGAAACTGGGGACAGGTTGTGGGCTCTGCTTTGCACAAGCCCAGCCTGCGGATTCTTTGAGTCAAGCACGTGTTAGCGAGCTAAGTCATGAAATGCCTGAGCCCTTCATTCCTGCTGGAGGTTAAAGACAGTGACTCATGAAGTCATCTGCTGAAATGTGTGTCAGCCTCTCAGGTTTTCTGGCGTTCTCCAGTGCAGTTGCAAGCTAGATAACCAGGAAGCCAGATATCTAAGCTACATTTCTCTTTTCCTCAGAAATGCTTTTGGTGACTAGTTCACTATGTGACCTTGGTCTCTAAAGGATGTGTTCTAACAGCTAGCATCTTAGAGTCCATAACTGAAGATGTGTATAAATTATGCAAATATTCTGTAACCTGGAAATCATTCTAAAGTCATGGTGCTGTGACTTTAGTTCGGGGGAGGTTTGACCCTGTAGCTGGGCTCCTCAGTGACCGAGTCAGCACTCAGAAGCACGCGTGAGGGAGTGTCGCGTCAGCCCAAGCAGTGACCGGCACCTCTGGGCCCCACAGCAGTGCAAACCTCAGTTCTTTCTTAGTCTATGTTTGTCTCGTTGTCTATTTTTGTCTTGGCTATTTTGAAGGGTATATAAATGCAGATTTCATTGTGGAAGTTTGATTTAGTCCTCAAACAGCACAAGCCATGCATGCACCAGTTGCAGCGGAGTTTGCCAGGGTGCATATTCCTGGGGCCTTTGGGGTCTGCCCTGGGGAGGGGATAGTGGGTGTGAGTCTGCTTGATGGGTCTTTGAATATTGCAGTGGTCACTAAATAAAATTCAACCCAAAGTTTTATTATTGGAGGGAAGTATGTACGCGTCCACGTAGACTGACCCCGTGATTGATCTTCAAGTGAAGGCCCAGGTCCTGGGTGCGGCGTTGGTGTGGTGCCGCCCGTGAGGAGGAGGTGCACTTCCCTGTAGTGCAGGCCGGGTGACTCCAAGGAAGAGCAGGCCCGGGGAAGGCCCACAGGACAGGCCTGGGTGGGGAGACAGTGAAGGCAGGCCGATACCCAGGGGTGTCTGACCGGCGTCGGCCCCGGGAGCATGGGAAGCGGGCCCCTGCAGTCCCCGTGGCCTTTTGGGGTGACTGTTTGATAGTGGTCCAGTGGGTGCCCGGTGTGGAGTGACCGAGCATGTCACTGAATAGTTTCGTTTCCTTGTTTCACTTCCAGCTTGCACAAGAATTACATTTCTTGTCCGCTTTTT